AGAGTACAAAATAAGAGTTCAGTTGCTGATACTGTAGGAAAAAATATGAAGAAAACATACACTGCAATGAATCCTCCAAAAGGATAGTAAAGGCTTCAGTTTTCTTGCACTCACAATTCAAATATTTGAACAGAAGCACAAACTGCTTTTTAAATCCACTTTAAAAACAAAAAGAAAAGGAAGTTTAAAAAATAGGATTTCCCTATGAAACACCATGTTTACCACCATATGTGCACATTAATGCACAAACTCACAAATGTTCTCTATTTCTAAATACTTGGCTACTGTTAAATAAATCTGGAAGAGGAAGAGAGTTCTCAGAGACACAGAGTTCTTATAAACCTCCTGAAAATGAATAAATAGAGGAAATAAATCTATTAGAGCTTCCGCTAAGGAAAAGGCTTTAGAGGGAGTTCAGCTGCATGACTGGATACCCAAGGGTCCACAGAGGCTGGTGTTTAAGAGGCTGTAAACAGAGTCACACGGAAAGACTCATTGCTTCTTGCCATTACAAGAGCCAGTAGATGTTCTTTTTAGTGTATTATTAATCCCATGAGCTCGCTGCCAAAAGATGGAACCTAAGGACTTAGAATTCCAAAAAAAAAACGAATTCCTGGAAAAAGCTCACAACCCTTGTGCTTGAGTAGTTAAGCAATAAAAATTAAAGGCCAGTCTCTTAGGATAAGATAATCACAATATTCCAAAATCACAAAGGTAAAGAAAGAAGGAAGCTTCTTTTCGGTCACCTATTTCTGCAGCAGCTGGTGCCAATACACTAGAGCTGCAACAAGGAACCTACGGGACTACTACAAATTCTCGTGCTATAAGTAAAGTTGAACCAATTACTTCTGGTGCACGCCCTATTTTCATGGGATACAGCTGTAACTTCAGCAAGTTGAGACCTGGTCACTGAACTGCTACCGCTTTCCTATTCGCAAACCACATGAACACTTCCCCTTCTGCCCCCCGCAATTTCAATGAATCAAAGTTGTCACTTATCAGGTCACTTACGGATTTTACTTGATCAAGTGGAAGTTCTTTCTATCGGTGCTTTACTCTGGAGAAGCTGCAACTTCCAAGATCCAATTTTCCATTCTAATTAGTCCCTGCCCAAGGTTGTGTGAGCACTGCAAGTACTCGGACAGTTTTCCACAAGCCACCAAACTTCTGGGCTTCAGAGTAAGAGCAGACACAGCTAGAAGCTGAACCTCCAATAAAAACAAAACATCCAAGAGTTCCGCGCATCAGGAGCCAGCGACTTGGAGCACAGATTGGGACACCAAGTTCTGGCTTCATTCACACTCAAATGAAACTCTCTTGGGGTGAACCCTGATGTTGGCTCACTGAAAAAAAAATCACAAATTAAACAAGTGAAATCTGAAAATTTCAATTACGTTGTCTTATCCTACCTAAAAGTAAAGGCTGTATGTGCTGGAAGACATCTCCTCCCAATGGAAAGTATTGGAATAATGCAGAACTTCCTGGCCTACTGCTTTCCCTTTTCTCCTTCTCTGATGAGCCCCCAATCTTTCCACTCCTAGTTTCTACATTACAGCACATACTGGCAGGTAAGAGGTTTGAAAACAAGATTATTCACTTTGGAAACGGTGCTACTAGCCAGCAGCACAACTCATTTCCTTGGAAGCATCACATCTACATTGTGTTTCAGACAGCATAGTCCACCCATGAATCTGAGTCCTTCAGAAACAATTTATCATGATAAAAATCGGAGCACCCTCATCATACTCATTTTACTGGTGAAGCAGCAAATATACTGCTACACTTATTTTGCAGGCACAAGGAAACAGAAATCTCCCACAAAATAATGCCGTGCAAGAAGTCCAAGCACAAAAATCTCAGAATGCAAGGAGTAGCTCGTACTAAATGCTCAGCATTTACATTCCAGATCCAAGAAGATTCTCCCCCTTGCTTGGAACATTTGAAGCACAATAAAGCAAACAAACAAAACCTAAGCCAGCTTGCACATATTTTAATTTCTGGATAAATATTAAGAATTCCATGAGACATTTGGAACAGTGAGTAGGTATTGCCGTTGGCTGCAAATTCTATTTGTTTTGAGTTAATCCATAAGGAGGTCAAGCCAGTGGAGCAGCAGTGCAGAGTCAGACTTACCATAGAAGAGTAAAACCCCTGTAAAATGTTTATGAGTTGCAAATCAAGTGATAGCGTTCAGAGCCGCCACGTAGAGTCAGAAAAGTTTCACACAACGTTTGGGAAAAATTCCGAATAGTCCAAACTCTGGCACAGCCACCATACGGAGTTTACTGCAGTAACATACGTTTTGCCACTCAGCAGATCTCCACTGCCAGCAAGGATAGACTGAACTAGTTCTTTACAAAATACACTCACATAATCAAAAAGTAGATTCTAACTAGAGAAGCTCACCCAGTTCAGCCAAATCTTTAGAGTAAACAACACAGGAAAAATGTCACACTCCTTAGCATACACTTTATCAGCCACAATGGTAAAAAGATGAAATAAGAGTCTAAAATCCTAGCATACTTCATAGGATGTAAAGAACTACTCAGTGCTATTCAGGCAATCATATCAACATCAGATCTCTCACTATACTATAAGTTTTTATTGTCAGCGTGGTCCAAAAAAAGCAAAAGCAGATACTTTACACATTTAAGCCTCTCGGGTTACTATACACCTAATTTATCCAAGTATAAATACAGGAGAGGAAAGCAGGGACAGAGGTGCTCCAAGGACTGCCACGCCGCATGGTGTGGACGCGCAAAGCGCCTCACGCACAGCAGAGTCCGCCGACAGCACAAGCAAGAGCCCGCGGCCTCCGTCCATCCCACGTGAGGTGAGAGCTGGTGGCGGTCGCTGGGTGCCTCCTTGCGCCCTCCCGCCCCCCGTTCCTCCTGTGTTCCCCTCCCTCGTCCCTCAGCAGCAGCCGAGCAGCCTTCCCGAGCCCTCGGGCACAGAGGCGGACCAGACACCAGACGTGACTCACGTTCGCTGCCAGACCTCACAGCAAAGCCACCATGGAGCCGGTGCCTGCTCTCCTCAGCCAAAAGGAGAGGAGCTGCTTCCTCCCTCTCACCTATTTCCACTGGGAATACCAGCCTGTGAGATACCCGAGTTGCTTTCACATGTTTAGCTACAATTTCTTAGTTTAGCTCCATGCCTCTCCCTAATTGAAAAGGTCTGAAAAGGGAGATGGCAGGTGGGAGAGGTTAGCACTTCAGAAGTAATTAAGTGCTAAAAGAAAGAATCTTTCCCTAATGAGGGCTGGGAACTTCATCTCTAGAGCTGGAGGGTAGTATCTCTTTCCTCCCCGAAATTCAGCCACAGTCTTCTCCCAGAGCCAGTCCTGGCTGCTTTAAGCAGTTATCTTGTGGAAAACTCAAAAGGGAAAAACCGGAGGTGACATATGGAGGCATTAAGGGACAGGAGAACCCCCCTCCCTGTGGTTAGGGCAGACACACTGAGGGGCAGAAACATGTGAAAATGTTTGTGAGATTCCCAGATGCAACTGACTAAAGTATCCTATGCAGAGCAATACAGCTCCAACAGAAAAGAGAAAGGGTGTCATGGACTAAGTGCTTCTGTGCATTACTGTTTAATTGGCTTTTTGATTATCAGTTCAATAACAGACTGTTCACATTTATCAAGTTTTCAACAGCACTGGGTGAAAAGGAGAGCAGCTGCTGAGAAAGCAGGATTCAGCACAGTAGCATCCTGGATGCTTTCGGGTTCTGGTCCCCTAATTCCCAGCAGCACATGAAGACGAGCACTGGTCAGACTAGATGGGAAAAGCTGGAGGTGCCTTTAGCTGAATGGCTAATTTTTGCTTGAATTTGCAAAGACTAATATTGGATTTGTTTGTCCTACCATCTGCTATAATCACAGATTAAAATTAATCTGTCCATTGACAATAGGAAAAATGAAGATACTTATGAGATTACATAGATAGAAACTTATGATTTATATGATATGAGACATCTAAAGTGTCCAGAAGTGGTTTTAAGGACCTCCATGTTGGATTTATCATCTATCTCCTTACAATTCCACTGTAAATCCAGCTCTAGATGCTTATTGCATGTTTCAGCTCTAAAATATCTCTGAAATTTGGTTTTATATATCAAATGCGCTACAGTCAGTGGACTACACTAACTATAATAAATTTTGTATCAGACTCTACAGCTACGGCTTTTTCTTTTGGCAATATTCCTTCCTGTTGCATTATTTTCCTTGGAGTCCAACTGAACATTATCAAGCAGATTCCAAACTTCAAGTTACTACTTCAGCACCTATAAACAGCTTAAAGGTTCCAATTAGACTCAAATAAGGAGGAGAAAAAAAAATAAAAAATAAAAAAAATAAAATGTGTTAGGAAAGCTGTCAGTTGGGTGAATCAAGTATTGACTTTCCCTGAATATAAGATAAAATTTGGAAAATCGAATTTTCTACCTCTGCCATTTTTGCCTAAAGTTCTCATTAAAGATTAATGGCTAGAACTGCAGGATTTTCCTTGCAGAGGAGGCATCAACACTAGTGGATTATTCTTAACAGTACACACACTTGTTTGCATATGTGATGGCTACAATCTGCAGTGCATCACCTGTCAAAGCAGCAGTGAATCCATCTAGGCTCCAACTTGGATAATCTGTTGCAGCCACAGGACTCATGTCTTGCAGAGCACCAGCCTAAGTGAGTCACAAACTGGAATAATCCCCCCCCAACGACAGCACTTCAGAAGAGAGAAAAGGAATGAAGATCACTTCTAGATTTTGAAATACTGAAACGTTAAAGAAATCCTCCTAAAAAATAGAGTTGATCTTTATTAGCATTCACTAGGGAACCTGAGGGGAGGGGAGAAAAAAAACAGCCTGTATGTCAAAGTCTTAATATCAAATATCTGCCTAAATATATTTAAATAGGTCAGATATCTGAGATATTTGTAGGATGATGCAGCTCTTTGTTTAAAGAAGAAAAAACAAAGAAACAACCAGTTTAGTATTTCTTACCTTTGAACCTGCCAATATAGCGCTCAGCATTTTTGTTCCTTTTCCAATACCAACCACTGCAAAGACAGAGAGAAGCGTCACAGCATGCCACTCCAAAACCATCCTTACAGTGCTCTTATTCAATAAGAATCACTAGTAAATATTATGGTAGTCAGAAACATGGCCTTTCACAGTCTGTTAGCATTTGCGGAGAGCCAGTGCTTATGAGAAAAGTGTATTTGATACTCAAATAACATGGAATTAACAAAATCAAAAGTCTAGAGATGAATAATCTTCATCTATTGTTAAAATGCTTTAATTCCACCCTGAGATTTATTCATATTTTAATCAGCAAAGAAACGGATAGTGCAATTAACCCTGTCTCTGGTGTGATGAAGGCTTTGGCTCCCCAGTAACAAATCTAGCCTTCACTGTTAACTAAATAGCACCCATTTAGAGGTTATTAGTGGCCAAGAGCAACACAGCCGAGACAGCATAACAAATGAGTTTATCAGGGTCACAGCAAGAAAACCAGAGTCATAAAGCTCCACTGTCTCCAGCAAACATCTTTTATAATCATATGGTCCTATTAATATGTATGTACAGATTATTTCCTTTTGATCTTAAATCAGTATTCAGCCAAGCAACAGTCAGCTTTTCAAATACAAAGCAGGAAAAAAGATTTTTACTTTAAAAACATTTCACAACAAGATGTTTTCCTTGAATTATTTTTTCCATTGATTTCTTCCACATACAACAATCAGAAGAAATAATGACAATAGAAGGAGGAACATGGGAAACAATGAAAAGCCAGATACCCTGTCACTACATGCATTTGTGAGAACATATCACCACCCTGTAATTCATTACAGAGTTTTCCATTACCTCACACAGTAAAAAGGCATAGCTCTAATGAAAAATGAAGAAGCCATTCTGAAATTATTTTGCTATCAGAATAACACAGGGTTGCCTTTATCTTTGCAGAATTCCAGAAGGAAATTACTTTCTCCTACAAAACATATAATACGTAACAGCTCATGCTCTTGATTTCAGTAAAATTACAGGGGATAAGGGAGCTTGTAGGAGAAAATCAGCTTTGTGTCAACCAGGAACCAGTACTAGAAGCATCAAACCAGATAATGATTCCTTAAACATATTTATTCTTTACAAACATTTGTGCTCTAACACTAATGCTTCTTAATCTTTACTCTGGCACTCACTAGACTTTTTCTTATTTTCGATTACTTATCCCCTTGTTCCCTTAGGGTTTCTACACTCTCATATATGTCTTTGTCCTTGCTCTGTTGTGTGTCTTTAGCTCAGGCTGTTCTTGTCATTTTCAGCAGCTAATAAAGGGCAGCAACAAGGCTGAGAAAAGGCGGTAAACTCAGATGAAACTTCACAGTCAAATACTTTCCTTGCAGTGGGATGACATCACTGACACATCAGCATAAACGGGGAGCTGAAATGTGCTGGAGTGTCAAGAGATTCAACAGAAAAATTTTAAAGAAGCACTGAAACCTTTTGTGAACAAAACCCTTGCAATTTCCCCTTAGCTTGCGTACTACCAAGATAGAAACTAACCTTGCTAGACGGTGGGGAACATATGGTTTAATTGAATTTTATATTTCTCATTTGCCAGTGTCTGAACTGCTTCTTGAATGGCATTTTCTACTTGGTTTACATAGGAGCTACTTCAGTTTCAAAAGAGCTGCCTTCACCCACTCATGTCTGCATTTTAATAAAAGGTTTATAATTTCCTGGGGCAGAGGACTCCCAGCATAGAAAACAACATTCTGCAATCTTATTTTCATAAGGTAGCACACACATTACAGCTATGTGCTCACTGCAAAAACATGGTCAAAAACTTTACACCTATCTTTCTATTTTAGTCTTCTGATGAAGAAACACTGGCCAGTTATTTGCCATTTCTACATCCTCCAGACTTGTTATTAACTAATTTGTATGAACAAAGTTAGAGATTTGCATGAATAATTTTAATACATGAAATTTGGGAAGCAGCAGTAAGGATCAGGACAGAATGGACAGAAGTTTAACAAATGTATATTTTTATTATGCTATTGTGCATGAGAAAAAGCTTCCTGCCCCACTACAGCATGCTAAGCAGCAGCACACACATTTCCTAAATAGCTTCTTTCTATTAAGTCCTCCCCTTTCTCCTCATTGCTTTATTTGAGCCCTAAGAAATTTGAGTACACTTCCCTTCCCTCTCCTCTCCAGTTTTGTCCTTTCCAATCTAGCGATCATTGATTTTCCTCTGTTTTCTATGGCAGTGAAGTGAAACATCCTGTGCCTTTTTGGATCGATCCACAGCGTATTAAGGTGATGCACTTTTCTGCCTTTACCAGGCACACCAAGCTCATGTACTTTTTTGCATGCCACAGGGGCTGGCCTTGGAGACCACTGGATATCAGAAAACAGCAGGAGAAGCAATTAAAAAGCATGAATGATTTCTCTTTTCCTCTGGATCAATGCTGTTGACTTCCCACAGTGAATACTAGCACGTTCAACGGGAACATCTGTGGAAAAGGAAAATGTCCACTTCAGCAATACAGAGTATTCTCTGGTGAGCAACACAGTCCAGGAAATTGGAAGAAGAGCCAGTACTTCTAGGCCACAAAGGTTAGAGTCTACAAAATGCACAGGTGGCAGGGAAAGACAATTACCAGCATATGTGCCTCTACTAGCAACAGCCTCAGCAAGTGACACTCCTTTGGAAGGCCACTCAGTCATTACAGCAGAGCTCAGTGGATCTGCTCCCAGTGCATATTCATAGTTGCACTTCTTTGCCTTTCAGCACCAAAAAATATTACCAAAAAAGACACTTTTTTGGTAGAGTAAGAGAGCAACAAAGCTAGGATAAAGTAAACTATGGTTTCTAAGTTACTCATCAACAAAACTATCTGTGGCAAGGTGTGATATGGGCATAATCCAGGCCAACAGCTGTTTTTTCAATCCAAGCAATTGAAACATCCTCTTCTTTAAGAAGAAAGGAATGTGATAAATCACTACAAAAAAAAAAAAAAACACAACAACACACACAGAGCATTGAAGCTCTTTCAATACTCTTTTTTACTAGACAGGATAACTTTCACTTCTGTTTCTTACTTCCATGCTGATCCCCCCAAAACACAACAGCTAGATTGGTTTTACTCATCTTTCATTTGGAAGCTATGATAATCCCAAAAGGCTCTCTCAGAATCCCAAAAATGCATTTTCTTACCAACCAAAACATTGGAAAACTTTTAACTAAATAAAATCATCGCTTTCTGAGCCACTTTAGATGTCAAAACATTACACAACATTCTATATTTCCATGTAGATAACCCACAGATTATTTGAGGAAGTGGAGAAAACTCCCTTTCTAGTCAGTAAAATGTTATATTCATGTTAAAGCATACACAGGGGAAGCTTATCCCTGACTATCCTTCCCCACTAACCCTTCTTTTCCCTTGGGCCCCACAGCCTGCCATGTGCATTCCAAGTCATTCTTCCACCTCTGAGCTCACAGGCATGAAAACGTCCAGTGAAGTCACCTTTCTATGACTGCGTTTGTATTTTCCATTACCCAAAACTCCTGTAGCCGCACTGTCCAAAGTGCCACCATGTCCAATTTTCAAAATTTGCTTCTTTCTTTTGTTCACATTTGCTTTCACACCAGCTTCTGCAAATAGAAATGAAAAAGAGACATTACAGGCTGACCTTAGGGCACAGAAAAAAAACAATGCATTTTTGCATATGGCTAAGAGAGATTAAAAAAAAAAGTTTAAGCCACGTATTAGTAGGGCAGGAGAGGCTGTACTGAGCAAGACTGATGGTTGCATGCAATGGGCTGAGCACATTTGCAGGCGGGCAGCCCTATGGAAAACTTGCAATGCACTGAGGCTGCTCCGATTGCTTTCACACTGCCCAAGGGTCCCACTGACCCCGCTACTATGTGATGGCCAAGTTCCCAAGTCCATGATGAGGGGTCCAGGCCTCTGTACCTGTGCAATGACCAAACTTTTTTTCCCCCCCGATACCAGAGAGCTCAGGCTTCCTTTATTTCAGGAAAAGGAAAAGCAGCCTTGACATATCGCACCCTGGACTCCCAAAAGCGCTGAAACACGGAGTTTTCCCGCTCGCCGCTGACTTTAACAGCAACGCACAGCCGAGCCGAAACTGGGGGCCACCGCGGCGCCCCCGTCCCGCTGCTGCCGAGACCCG